CAGAACTCCTCCAGGCTTGTGTTATTTGTGGAGATAAAACATCAACTTTGCAGAGCAACCAGAGTCAGTGGTAGTCGTGTTGCTGTTAGCCAATCAGAGGAGAGATATATCAGGAAGTAAGACTCCAGATCCTGTTGTGTTCTGCTCACCTGTTTCCTGAAATAGGAGCGCCAGAGCTTTTTTCCTCACAGATCGACTCCCAAGGCATTCATTCATACGAGAGACTGCTGCAGATGTGTTGAAAAACAAGAGAAGTTGATTGTAACAACTTTCTCTTGTAAAATCCAGGAGGAAATAAATGACTTGTGAGCTTCAGTAATGGAGTGGTCACATTCATCGGTAGTTTGTTTACGTTGATAGATACGTTTTCAGAAAGTTGGCCGTGTCTTCTCTCATTCAACACATCGAATTTGGTTTTTCTGTGGCTCAAACACGAGGTGTTTATTTCTGGATGGAGTTGACCTGATTAAGGTTTAGCTGAACTCTGCTGCTGTGACACCTACATGTATGAAAGCATAGCTGGTACATTCTGGTATTTTTGACTTGTTCTGTTGTACCTGAACAGGTGAATTAGAGAGTTCGGGTTAATGCAAATGCACACTGTTTCATAGGACCGATGAAGGAAAGCTGCTCTGCAGTGGTCATTAAAGCAGGATTTGGAAAAGTTTTAATTTCTCCGGGGCTTTTCAAATTGCCTGCTCCGGTTGTACTGAGACATTTGTTCAAGGCAACTACAAAATACCAATGTGGCCCCATGAAATGACCATATGGAGCCATAGAATTGTTTTGTCCTAATTGGCCCCTTCTGCAAGTGTCAATTTCATTCAGAGGAATCCAGGGACCCGGAGCAGAAATGGAGAGTGAATGAACCAAAGGTGGGGAGTGGATCCTGATGTTTATCAGACCTCTCCTGACAGACGGATAAACGGACTGTCTTGCAAGACTTTGTTCAGCAGATGAACAACAGAAATCTCTCTGGATTTCATTTAGCTGTGCTGGCCTTGTTAAAGCGTTGCTTTTCTCCTCAGCTTGAGAAGCACGGGCGCTGCAGCCGAGGACCTTGACTCCTAATTTTAGCAGCCAAAGAGGTCCGGATCAATAACCATCAGTGTTTGGTTGTGGGCCGCTGCGTCGGTCAGAGTCGGGGATTCACCTCTCCTCTGGCTGCTGCCTCTGTAGCGTCTCAGAAGATGGCATTCTGTGAACCATGTCACCACTGTGTGTGTGGGTGTGCGTGTGTGTTTATGTATGTGTGTGTGTGCATGTGTTTGTGTGTGTGTGCGCGTGTGTGTGTATGTGTGTGTTTATGTGTGTGCATGTGTGTTTGTGTGTGGGTGTGCGTGTGTGTGTGTTTGTGTGTGTGTGTGTGTGTGTGCATGTGTGCATGTGTGTGGGTGTGCGTGTGTGTTTGTGTATGCGTGTGTGTGCGCGTGTGTTTGTGTGTGCGCGTTTGTGTGTGTGTGTGCGCGTTTGTGTGTGTGTGTGTGCGTGTGTGTGTTTGTGTGTGTGTGTACGCGCACGCCCGCGTGTGTTTGTGTGTTTGTCTGTGTGTGTGTTTGTGTGTGCATGCATGCGTGTGTGTGTGTGTGTGTACGCGCATGTATGTCTTTGTGTGTGTGTGTGTGCGTGTGTGTTTGTTTGTGTGTGTGTACGCGCACTCGCGCGTGTGTGTGTGTGTGTGTGTGTGTGTGTGTGTGCGTGCGTGTGTGTGTGCGGGTGTGTGCATGCAGGCGCGTGTGTGTACCTGCTGCCTGCTTACGGATGCAGGCTTATCCTATAAAGACTCATGATTTTATAACTCTACGTTTGTGTTCGTCACTCGGAGACGAGGCAGAAGAAGAGCTCCAGCCTTGTAGATGTCACCTTTGCATCAGCCGCCATCTTGGTTTTAGCCTGAGCATGCCTCCACACACACCTGGAGCAAATGATGCCACCTGTTTTTATTTTATAGCAAAGACCATTACTCACCCATCCATCTGCTTATCTGGGGATGGGTCACAGGGACAGCAGCCTAAACAGGGAGACCCAGAATTCCTGCTCCTCCAGGGAAATCCTAAGGCATTCCCAGCAGTCCCTCCAGCATGTCCTGCTTCTTGGGTTCATGTTCACCAGGGAGGCATGCAGAAGGCATTCTAATCAGATGCCCGAGCCACCTCAACTGGCTCCTCTCGATAACCATGACCAGGATTGGTGATCCACCCACTTGCATCACACACTGCGTAGGGCACCGAGTGGCCAGGCGGTCACCGGCCAATCGGGCTTAAAAAAGACTTCCATGACACGCATCTCCTAGATGTCACAGAGTGGATCTGGTAGATCGCACCCCCCATCATCACCACCACCATCACCCTGGAAGGCCCTGGACAAAACACGCGTCATGGTCAGCACAAGACACACATCCAGCACCTGCGTCTGCGGCAGTTAAACCAGCATCTTAGGGTTGGTGGGTCAGTGGAAAGAGCATCTGTCCTTATCCCGGTTCTCCTTGTCAGCAGTAATATATTTCCTTCTTTTTTAGCTTTAGCTTGTTTTTGAACCCTTTATTTAAAATATCAGGACTAATTTTTTACTTCATTTATTTAGCCAGCTGAAGCAGCTTTTGAAATATATTTTAGTTTTACTGATTTATATTTTAAGACCTTTGAATTTGGTCATTTCCAAGCATCAATAGGCTCTGGACGGGACGCAGAAATCTCAGTGATCTACTCTGCTCACCTCACATGCTTCAGCTGGCTAAGTAAACGAACAAAGTCAAATAAAAACGATTACTTCTTATGTTTTTACCAGTTTACAAATAAATCCCTGAGGGCACGGCCATATTCCAAGATGACAATGCCAGGATTCATCGGGCTCAGATACTGGAAGAGTGGTTCAGGGAGCATGAGACATCGTTCGCACATGGATTGGCCACCACAGAGTCCAGACCTGAACCCCGTTGAGAATCTTTGGGATCTGCTGGAGAAGGCTTGGTGCAGCGAGATCTTGGTGAAACATTAATGCATCACTGGGTGGAACTAAATCTGCTGACGTTGCAGAAGCTTATCAAAACAACACCACAGCGAATGTGAGTCGTAATCAAAGCTAAAGGCGGCCCAACCAAATATTAGTGTGTGTGACCTTTAATCTTTGGCCAGGCGGTGTAGGATCTTACTAGCTGCTTTTATGGCTGGCCCTTCAGCACTTTGACATGAATTAGTCTGAAAATGTCTTTATAAATAAAAGTTGAAACAAAACACTTCCTATTGGAAATGTTTTTATCACGAGCACCTCATCCAGTTGGCGTAACTAAAGTGTTTGGTGTCTGGCTCAAGGACACCTGACTAAGGTGTGACAGGCGTGGGATGGTACTACCAACTCTGCTGTTGTTTGAAGACGTCGTTACGCCAGCAGCCGTTTCCACTCGGGGACCAAGCCGTAGGCTCCAATCCTCTCTTGCTTTCATCAGATGTTTGTTTTTGATGTTCGGGGTACCTGCGGACCACAGGTGTGTTATTCATGACGGCAACATTACTGCCCTCTCTGATTGGCTCTCCAGGTACCTATTGTTTTTATTTATTTACTGTCTGTTCACGTGCACCCGCCATTCACCTCCTGTGCTCTAAGCCTTTCTGCTCCACTGCCAATGAATGTGCATGTGTTAAAGATGGAGTCCGTTTGCTTCATCCTACGATGCTCTCCTGGGGGCAGAGGTTTACCCCTGCCTCCCTTCCCCATCTCTGCTGGGGTCATTTGGAGATGTAATCCACACATGGCTGGATCCTCCAGCCTGAGCTCTGAGCAGACAGATTGGGCTCCGGTGTGGTGAAGGTAGATGGGATTAGGCTCACGCTGAATCCTAACAGGCTCATTTCATCAACCCTTTTTACCAATTAAGCTTTACTTGAGCCGGACTTGTGTGCATTCCTAAATCAGGAATGGTACCCAGCACACCCAGCAGTCAGAAGGAAACATACGCCGCAGAATCAGCCACGTTAATCCTGGCTTTTTTCTGGTTTTGGTCAATGTCAGACAGAGGTCAACCTTGTTATAGAGTGATTGCCTCGCCTCGCCAGGCCACGACTGCCGCCGTCGTTATTTATTTCTCTGCTGAAGCCTGTGAGATTGAGTTGGAGAGCTGAGCCTGTATTTAGACTTTATTTAAGAAGATTGGTGTCGGCCACAGACCAACTGCTGCAGCCGCCCCCCGCCCCGTTCTCCGATGGGCAGCCGGATCAATACAGCACAATTGAGTTTTCCAATCTGTGGTCTTTGGAAACGGAGCCATGGCACTTACAGGGTGATCGCCTGTGATGAAGTCTTCATCAGGATCTATCGACGGGTTGATTTGGGAGCGCTCCTTCCACTCTCACGACATCATTTCTCCACTGTAAAGTAACGGGGGACTAAAACCCTCCCGATAAAGTTTTCTGGCTGCTGGTGCTCAGATAAGTTTTTATTCACTGAAAGTCGGATTTTGTTGGTCTTTTCAGTGAAAAATGCATTATTGTGTGCAGTTCTTGGTAAATTGTCGCTTTTCTCACCGTTAAATAAAAAACTTATTTAAAAGGGGCAAAAATAAAACACCAGATCAAAGATGTTGAGGAGTCTAAAGGATTTAGCTTGAAAAACAAATCAATGAACGGAGTGTGGTTCTGATCCAAGGATGGTAACTAACAACTGTAATGTCCAAACAGGCCGATGGGGTGTTGGGTATCACACGCTAATGCCCAGCGCTCACGTGCACGCCTCCACATTCCCCTTCACTCTTTTGATGTCCAACTTGTTTGTCTTCCCGGCAGCTGATGCCGTTTTCTCGGTATTCCTGAAACGCTGTGAGTCGGCACTTTTCCTCGTTGCTTCTCCTGCTTGGTATCACGAGACCCAGAAATGGAGGAACACTGCAGACCTGAGTGAATCTGATAATTCTGGGTTTCAGATCAATTTGATCAGGATGAATAAAGGATATGATTATAAATCCAGATGTGTTGATGACTCTGCCTTATCTTTTCTTTTTTCCGTAGAGCTTTCCGATATCGAACCCAACCTCTTCCTGAGACCCTTCCTGGAAGTAGTCCGATCCGAGGACACCACCGGACCAATCACAGGCCTCGCTCTTACCTCCGTGAACAAGTTCCTCTCCTATGGCCTCATTGGTAAGAAATGCTGGTTTCCCTTGCTTCATCATGATCTCAAGTTAAGCCCTCAGCAGACGTTCAGGTCGGAGCCGAGGGCTCAGCAGCTGTTCGCCTTCAGCTCATAACAACACGACTTGTTCTCATTAGTTCTTCGTAATGTTTTTGGTGGAAATCCAGTTTTCTTGAGCTGGTTTTTCACAGCAAACATGAAGTCTTGTTTGAATGGAGGCACACTTTCTGTTTCTCATTCAGACCTGCATAGGAATTCACTATATTAAAGAAATCTTTGCAAAACAGTTTCACATTTTCCTCATAATTATTATTTTACCATGCTTGATGGAACAAGCCACTGCCCATTACCCACATCCAGAGAGAGGAAGTAAATCCTGGATGAAGCTGTAGGTTGTTAGGGTCAGACTGAAGGAAGCAGAGGGCCTGTCCTGTGAGTTAGTGCCATCTGCTGGCTGTGAGAAAAGCCAGAAAGTCTTTTTAAAGTGATTCTTGTTCTTTCTCTGTCTTGGATTCAGTGTTTTATGCATCAGCAGGATGATGTAACAGGACGTCGAACGTGGGCTGAGAGCAAAGCTGTGTGAGGTGGTTAATGAGTTCTGCTGCAGTGTTTGCGTTGCTTCTGGGTCGTTTAAGGTTAAAGGGTAATGTACAGACATCCCTCTGAGAATCAGAGGGCTGCAGTCATGGTGCCACCTCCATGGATCCTTCAGGGGTCTGAGGTCTCCTGGATCAGAGGGAGGAGTAGATAGTGTCAGAGCTTTTGTCTGTTCCTGCAGCTCCTCCTCTGGTTTCTGTTGTTCAGAGTGAAATCATCTCTGACCTCCGAGAACTCATCAGACGTTTTCCTGTCAGCTGCTGTGATGAAACACTAACGTTTCACCTGGACTGCAGCGTTCTGTCATTTTCAGGTTGACCTATTCAGTTATCATTGGTGCTGGATCATAATGCGATGAGGACAGGAGAACAAGCCCACGGTTGTGTTTTTATCAGAGCAGAGTGCAGCCCCAGAGCTCTTTGTGTCGCCGGCTCCTCTCCTGTTGCCCGCCCGCCCGCCCACTCACACCATGTCGGCTCGATGTGGCAGCTGCTTCAACCCCCTGTTGATTTTACCGTCATACCCTCAGGCAGTCACCACAGCGAGCCTCTCCTCTTCCTCAGTGTTATTTTAACAATGCCCCCCACCCCACCCCCACAGACCGTGGGCCAAGAGTAGGATTAGTGTTTTATATCACTACTGACCCCTCCACACACACACACACACACACGCACACGCACACAACTCTAGATCTTTGCCTCCATGCTTGTTGCTCTTTCCCTTGGGTGCTGGTGGTTTCAGTCACACTCAGCCAGCTAACCAGCTGCTAGTGCTAACCCACCCGTAGGTCAGGCTGCTGATATGTTTTGATCATGTGATCCAGCCTTATCTGCAGTCACCGTAAACCCTGAACCTCGTATCTTCTCTGTATGACCGAGTCTTCCTGGTCCCTACCTCCCCCTCCTCCCATCCCTCCTCCCTCTCCCCCTCTACCTATTAGTTAATGAATTGCTGCTCTCGGGGGCGATGGGAAAGGAAAACAGGCTGGCTCCAGGCAGATAGCTGCCCAAGCTCTCAGGTTTCAAAAACACCAGCTCCTGTTGCTCCGTCAGCCAGTTCGTCTCAGGCTGCCTCCAACAAAAGCCACATCTGGTGGTTGGGTCTCCACCGGGCTGGAGATGTCTCTTTTATTTCTGTCCTAGCTGCTGTAACTCTCATTAGAGCTGGTGTTTACCGCCCGTTTAATGCATTTGAAGCTGATTTTGTTGGATCTTAATAGTTTGATTGTGATGTGAAACCCTTCAGGTCTTCCTGATCTGCTGAGGTCTTCATTATTCTGAAAGAGCGGGAGACATGGCCGGCCTCAGGGACGATCTGTTGGATGAATAAACTAATTCATCTCTTTCATTTCATCACCAAATCTTCCTTTTTAGGCAAAAACACCAACACCATCCACTTCCTTCTGATGTTTAACTACAAACAGTAGATTAATAATTAGCAAAGAAATTTTTCAGAACATTTAATTGTAGAATCCAGAAGAGACATCAGCGACCTGTTTCCAGCCCGGTCTGTCCTCCAAACCTCGAGTCTTTAGTTGTTTACATGTAAACAAACGTGTTTGTTGTGTCCTCAGATGCTAACCACGAGGCTGCAGCCGAGGCCATTGAAAACATGGCCGATGCCGTCACGCACGCCAGGTTTGTGGGAACAGACCCCGCCAGCGACGAAGTGGTCCTGATGAAAATCCTGCAGGTATTCCAAACTCAAACCGTTTCCTAGCTACAGTTTGTCCTCCAGCAAGCCTGCTTCTGAGGCTCTGAAGGCCTCTGGTTGAAGGATAAAGGTTCGTCAGACAGTTGAACCTGTCCGACAGTCTGGATCAAACCGGTTTGGAGGTTATTGCGGGGCTTCTCCACCCTGATCTTCTGCGCCCCCCTATCCTGCCTGTTTTAGGTGTTTCCCTGCTCTCACACACCTGACTTGAACGAGTGAGTGATTAACAGGCTGCTGCAGCACTCGATGGTGCGCTGAAGCAGAGATACTGAAAACATGCAGGACCAGGTTTAATAAACCCGGTTAGGGTTTGGGCCAAACAAGCACAACTGGGTTCATAAAAGGAACTACTCAAAGAAGAGACCTGGAATAGACTACAGGCAGCAAGGCAGAAAACTCTAGAGCAGAGGTCCAATCCTGGTCCTGGAGGGCCAGAATCCAGCATGTTTTAGTTGTTTTACATCTTCAGCTCACCTGATTTCAATCAGCAGGTGATTAACAGGCTAATGCAGAGCTTGATGAGCTGCTGAATAGATGATTCATCTGCTGAATCAGGCAGGTGTGTTGGAGCTAGGGCTGGGCGATACGGACCAAAACTTATATCTCAATATCTTTTAGTTGAATTCCGATACACGATATATGGGAATGAGCTCCCCTGTCTTGCTGGGAGGGTTTCAAACACTGCCATCCTCTTCTGGAGACCGTGGCGCGCTGCTGCGCAGCATTGTTTATTCTGTTATTGTTACTGGTACTTGTCTTGCGATGTGAAATGCTTGGTCTCAGATTTTGTAAGAGAAATGATAACATTTCCCCCCAAAATGCGAATTACATGTGTTTTTTTCTTCTTCATTATACATTTAATGGCTGGTGCGACTTCAGAGCGACTTATAGTCCGGAAAATACGGTACGTTAAAAATATTGAAAACTTGCTCAAAGGAAAATATATTTTCATTAAGGAAATACCTTATAAACTTACCGATTTCATACCTTTTTATTCACAGAAAGATAGTTTTCATGAAAATGCGCCGCAAACCTCCACACAAACTTCGTGTGAGCTTCAGGTCGCTGGTGTTCCACAGAGTTAACTCCGGTTGTAGCTAGGTAGCTACCTCCATTAGCTTAGCTCCCACCTCCACGTTAGCTTTGGGTTAGCTTCAGGTTAGCTTGTAGCTAGTTCGACCGGGTGTCGTCATTTGATCCCAGCCTTGCAGCCCCACCCTCAGCTCTACCTCTCTTCCCTTTTGTGGAATTGTCTGGGCTTGACGGAACCTGTGACACTGTCAAAATGGCGGTGGTGGCCACCTCCCAAATTTTCCTCAAAGTGTTATTGGAGCCTATGGAAACCCATTTCTCTCTCT